ATGCCGAAAACACTACTTGGACACCAAATCATGTTCAGCTGATAGAGGATCTGTAGCAGGACAAAGTCCTTCACATCTCGGCAATCAACCGATAGTACCAGTTTCAAGAGCAGGTGCTCCACATTGCATCTGGTGGGGCCTCCTTTGGGGGAGCTATACTGCTGGAACCCTCGGCCTCGGGTTTGTCAAAAAACCTAGACCAAATCCTATTTTTCCTTTCACGATTGTGGTCAACATGAAGCCTCTCATTGGAGAACCATGTATGCTCCATTACTCACTCAAGGTTGAATGAGCAGGCAATCTCTTCTCCATCATTCCTATCGGTGAAGACGAATTTCTTTCTTTTCTTGTCCCACTGACTCAAAATGTGCTCAAAGGTGGGAAGATCGACACCAGGTGGGCCAAATTGGACATAGTGTCTGAATACATTATCTTCGTAGGCCGCAAAATGCCTTGGCTCCATACGCATCACCAAATTCCGCATAAAGACACTGAAGCTGGCGGTGGGCCGCAACGTAATAGTTAGCTTTGCCCTTTTTATACATAACAAAAACACAAAACATAAGCATTTTTGAGTATAATTAGTAAACATAACAACTATGCTGTAAACTTTACGGATATACCAATAAGCTTAACAATAACCCCAACAGACTAGGAGCATTATCAATCAAACCATAACATTAACGACATAAAACATGCGGTAAAAATTACCATTTGGGTGTTGCCACGTGCTTTTCTTTTTCTCCTCTCTGTAGACCAAAGAGCGCGCTAGTGGTATCGTTAGACGCGGTGGTGGTGCTGGTGCTGCCCTCTAGACCTTTATGGGGGCCTACACTTAAATTTTGAGGTGAACTTCTGGAGTTGAGAATGTCTGGTCTCGATGTCCTCTAGAACATTAGCAATCACAACTTCAGCATCAGATTCAGTACGCACTACAGTTGTCTGGGCTCTTTCTGATATTTCAAACTGCTGGGCGTCATCGCTTTCGCTGTGGTCGGCATGGAGGCTTGTTTTGGGGTTGAATCGCCGTCCATTTTAATCCCTTTGCTTTGATTTGGTTTGCGTTGGAGTCAGTTGATTTAGAGCTAGGCTTTTGAATTAGGTTCCTGGAGTCGGTTTGCTTGCAGAAGAGAGAGATGACAGGGTACAGACGAGGAGGTAACTCATAATGAGGAATTTTAAACGGAAGGGTATTTTGTGTATTTCGAGAGGGGTTTAAACGGAGTTACGCCTGGGGATTCGTTTTGGGGGCTGGAAGAAAATCGCGGTCGATTTTAGGGGCAAAGCACCCGTTGATAAAGTCTTGGGGGAGGGGGGGAAGCACGTTTTCTTGTATTTGGGGGGCTAGAAGTATTTTTTCCTATTTGTAAACCACATTTAAACTGGGTTGTTATTGCAATCATCCACCTTGACCCGTTTCTAATGAATTTGATTGAAGTTCTGAAAATATCCTTAAAAAACAACACATGTCAGGCACTAGATTTGGTTAAGAAGACATGTCACTTACCTAGCACGTATGTCATGGATATTTTGAGAAATTTAGTAAAATATTTATCAGAATATAGATTATAAAGTAGTTGATTGTAATTGAAATCTACTTTAAAGATGGTATCCATAATATAAATTGCACTTTAAAGATGGTTTCTTAACCATCACCCTATTTTACAAATGGTTTACGTGAATTTTTTTTTTAAATACAATCTAACCCATGGCTGGCTCAAAGCACAACAATTTGGTTTCAGACAGACAGGCTCCCACAATTGGAGAACCCAAGTTTTCGTTCCTATTGAAGACCGTGAATTGACTGTCTTGTGCACCCCCAAAAACATAACCTTGTCCTAGATGTAGTGAATATATACATGTGAAAAGGATCAACCCGCTGTCACTATATAAAAAAGATTATAATCATATTTAATCCTAGCAAGACTCCTTAATAATTGGGCAAGGATAAGCCAAAATGACGACGGCCATGGCGATGTGAGAAGAGGTTATACCGTCATCTCTCATTGACTTCATCAATTCCTAGCTCTCATCCCTTGACATGATAGGGGTATATAATTTTCTTTCACCCATAAATGCGTTAAAGATGTAAGAAGCAATGCATAGAAAGAGAGATAGAGAGAGGTGGGGGGAGGGAGAGCGAGAGGAGATGAAGCAAGAATTTATGGAGAAAGGTTGGTCAGAGATTCGGGTTGCAGTTGAGGAGCTCTCTCAGGTCAAGTATGAAAACAAGGAGAAATTAAAATTTATGTAGATAATTATTTCTTAGATGAGTGTGTTCACCCTAATTCTTCTTATTTTGAACTATTTGGAGATGACAGGTTTTTATATCTCTAGCTGTTTAGTAGAAAAAATCATCATCGGATGATATTTTCATGTACACACGCACTACCAAAGGACAAGCTAGCTATTGAAATTGACGTCCCCTTTCATTATAAGATTTTTGTGTTAAAATGCACATAACTATTCATTAATAGATGTTTTATCTTAAGTTTTGTGCACATGAATGATTTTGCATATACTACAACAAATCCTTAACATTTATTTTTATTTTAGGGATATGACTTGAGCATGTTCTGTTTACCCCAAACTATGTGTGTGTGGGATGGGGTGGGGGGGGGGGGGGGGGGTAGGGGGTGTTTAAGCACACGGATAGAAGACAGCTAACTTGCAGTTTACTAATTTTATATTAGGTCAGACGTGCCAATCAGTGTTGTTTGTTAGAGTTAGCCTCTGACCTCACTACTGATTGATTTTATGCAGATAAGGTTGGGCCTACAATGGCAGTCTTAAGACAAGATATACGGCGAAATGTCGAGGTAACAATAATTGATTTTATCTCTTCACAAAAGTTGCTTATATTTGCTTAGAAGTTAACAAAATCATAGGCTTTATTTATGATTTAATCCTGTTAGGGCTCTAAAGACATCAGACTATAGAAAACAAGAACGACATTAGAACATTAGATAAAAGATGACCATAGCTAATACCTAGATTTTTAAATTTTTTTTTTATGAAAAGCCATTTTCCTACATTTAGAAAAGAGTCATTTAGAGACACAAAAATAAAAAAGGTAAAAATAACTTAATGATATATTTGAAAGATTCTAATTGCTATTCAGAAAAGAGTTTGTTCTCCTATAATAAGATGGCACTGTGTTTTCGGTGTTGTGCGCGGCGGAAGCTTTCTCGGGCAACACGAACAATAACTCAAACTAACCACAACTAATATGCAAACCACAATCACAGCAAGAACAAGAGATTTACGTGGTTCGGCAAGTTACCTACGTCCACGGGGTAAGGAGGGGGGTGTTCTTACTATTAGAAATCAGAGAATACAAGTAGGGTTACAAATCTCTCAGATCAAACCCTAAAACAAAGCTCTTGATCTCTCACAACTCTCCCACAATTGGATGCAACAATTCTCTCTTCAAGGCTGCTCAAATTCGTCCTTGCTTCACCCTAACAAATCATGTTTAGGGATATATATAACTTACAAAACGAATCGGGTCAAAAAACTGAAGCCCAACCCAGAAACATCGACGGTCGACCGCGCAAGTCTCGCTGTCGACCGCGGCGGGCGACCGAATCTCAGTCTCGAGAGCAAGAATCGCTTACAGTCATCCGGCCACCAACTCCGACTCCTACTAGTCTTCGTGCACGTTCGCGGTCGACCGCCAGTCTGCCTGGCAGATTTCTTTGCTGTTTTTCCTGTAATTCTTCATTCGGGTCAAAAATTTGCAATTTATTGATATATTTGAAAGATTCTAATTGCTCACTTCACTCCAAAACCAAAATTACAAGTGTTTGATTTTGGAGAAGTATGCCTATAGAGAATTGATTCTTACTCCATTGACCATAAGGATGTCATCATTGTTGAAGTTTTGTTGTCGAGTTTAGAGTCAAAGGGAGCTCCATTGAATTGTAACTCAACTCGTCAGAGAAGGATTGCCTTGTTGACAAGCTAAAGAATTGAGCTTTTGAGGCAAGGTGAGAGTGCCAACACAAGATCAAATGATGCAATAGAAGTTCATGGATGCAATTATTCTATCAAATGATGTTGAACTATAATACTCTAAAAAAAAATCAAAGGATGTAATAGAGGAACTTGACTCTAACATAAGTCCTTATATGAGAAAACCCCAAGAGCCAGATTCTTTATTTAGAACTCATCTACAGAACCAAAATTGTTCTGCACCTCCGAGTGACGGTCTTCAATCTGCATTTGCTCCTTTGCATAGTGAACCAAGTGTAGAAATTGTTAAGCCAAAGGTTGGTTTTTCTTTTTTTTTTTGTGCAGGGTTTAGACGATGATAAGCATCATCATTTATAATTGTTTGATGAGTGAGATCCGATGTTGGATCATCTACACAAGGAACCATTTCCTAAGAAAATCTACCATAAGTTTAAGATGAAGAGATTGCTGATTTGACTAAGTTTCACCCGATGGGGCCGCTTTATGTTTACCCAAACTCAAGAACTAGTTTTGTTTAGGGAGTGGAGAATGATGCAGATGCAATAATTAATGTTTTTTTGAAAGAAATCCAATCATGCGTAAGCAGGATGATTAAAACGAAAGAGTAATTTCGGTCAAATTCTAAGATGCAAATTTGGAGGATCATATTTTTTGAGATGCTCCATAGAATCTTTATTATTATATATATTTAAAATCTCAAGAAGTGCTCTATATATAAAACTAATCCGTGGTTCTAGATAATATTCTAGTTCAAAGATATTCGTATTCAGGCTCAACTACGTGGAATTCTGGATTGCTTTTAGTTTTCTATTTTTATAGAATGTTTTTTATGTAAGGATTTCTCTTAGCTTTAGGACATGCATAGATTGGTACTTTTTCATTGTTTTGTACTCTATATACAGGGAACAAATTCATGTTGGTTTTTAGATTAGTTATCATAAATTTTAGAAGTTTTTCATTCCTTGGGTTTCTAGGGTTTGTGCCATTTTGCTCCTACGAGAACGAGTAGTTATCTCTTTTAATTTTGCTTTCGCTATATTAGTTGGTATTCAGAGACAAGCTATTTACTATTATGACCACCAATGATAACAAAGTTAATCACCCTCCCCTTAATCTCGACATGTTGAAGAAATTGTCACGACAATGAGGAACTGACTACTACTATGAACAGAGGGATCCAGAATGAAGTCAACAACAAGGTCCATGCCTGTGATGTTCCCTGCGATTGACCCACCAGGGCTAGTGTTCGTGCTCATCGTCAAAATCAAGATAATGAGATTTTAGATCTGAAGGATTATCACATAAGAGTTAAGGAAATTCCTTACTCTTTGCGTAATCTTGATATTGAACAATTTTCAGGTGGGTCGAACCATCTCGAGGAGTTTTTTAAGATCCAATTTATCTCAGATGGAAAGTAGGTTCCTTTGGTGGCTTGCAAGTTGCAAAGTGATGCTGAAGTATGGTAGGATCAAGTTCAAATTAAATCCATCGAATTCTCCAACACAAATTGTTCATTAGTGGTTGGCATCACATGGAGAGAGAGTTGGGATATAGATGTTTATGTGTAGATTACAAGATAATGTTATATTCTCAATTTCAAAATTATCGCAAGGCAATCAATTGCGAATTGAGGTAAATCAGTCAAACATAACATTGAATTTTTCTCCTTCTGGTAGCGTTCCTATAGAAGATAATTTGTTTGATATTGAGACCAGCCATGGTTCATTTAAAAAACTAGCAACATAGCTATAATCACATAAATAGACAAGCAAATATCAATAGAAATAGAAAGGAGATAATTGGCAATGAATCAGTTCTATTCATCTGGCTGTTCAGGGATTGTCATTAAGCACCAAGATTGCATTGATGCTTTTAAAATCTATGAAATTTCGAGAGTTGAAATGCAATACAATAAGCCATCTTGGACAAAAGTATCAAGCTGAAGACATTGTGAGATGGACTTGAAACTAAGTGTTGTTGACCTAGTTTTTACGAAGTTCATGGATGCAATTACTCTATCAAATGACGATGAACTATGATACTCTAGAAAAACAAAGGATGTAATAGAGGAACTTAACTTAGACATAAGTCCTTATATGAGAAATCTCCAAGAGCCAAATTCTTTATTTAGAAGCCATCTAAAAGACCGAAAGTGTTCTGCATTTCCAAGTGATGGTCTTCGATCTACACTTGCTCCTTTGTAAAGTGAACCAAGTGTAGAAATTGTGAAGCCGAAGGTTGGTTCTTTTTTTTGTGTAGGTTTTGAATGCTGATAAGCATCACCATTTAAAATTGTTTGATGAGGGAGATTCAATACTGGATCATCTACACAAGGAACCATTGTCTAAGCAAACCTACCACAAGTTTAAATTGAAGAAGATTGCCAATTTGACTGACTTTCACCCGATCAGGCCCCTTTATTTCGGCCAAACTCGAGGATGAGTTTTGTTCAAGGAGGGGAGAATGATGCGGAGGTAATAATTGATGTTTTTTACAATAAATCTGATCATGTGAAAGTGGGATGATTGAAGCAAAAGAGTATATTCAGACAGATTCTAAGATGTAATTTTGGAGGATCATATCTTTTGGCTCGCTTCAAAGAATTTTTATTATTATATAATTATGGAAATCTCAGGAAGTGCTCTGTACATAAAATGAATTTGTATTTCCAAATAATATTCTTGTTTGAAGATATTTGTCTTCAAGCTCACTGGAACGATCGTCAAAACTCTTATTGTTGAGTTCGATCAAGACAAATATGAAGAGTTCCTCCTCTCCGGATCCCTTTGCCCCAAGGCTATGCGCAAGATCCACAAAGTCTCTAAGGAGACTAAAGCTCTAACTGTTGCTCTTATGCTGAAGGAAGCCCTCTTATTTAGCCAAGATTGATCGAACAGCCCCTCCTCCAAAGGAGTGGGCTCAGCTTATGCCAAACTCATCAATTGAGTCAAGGAATCTATACCAACACCAAATCAACGGGTGATGGGTCACAAGAGGCCCATTGAGGTGACAAACCTGATCAACACAGATGATGATGTCGCAACAAAGGCCTTGAAGTAGGGTAAAAAGAACGCCGCTCAACAAAGGAGGAGATCCCTAAGGCGAGCGTATCTCCGAGAATGCCGACCCTCAAGTCAACACGAACTTCGTGTTTGTGAGACTAAACGCGACCCTGTGCTCTACGTTTCTTCTTTAGAATGCAAGCCTCGTGTCTATGAGCCCAAAGATAAGCTTTGTGTGAATAAGACTGAACGCAGCCTTTAGGGGTGCATTCCACAAACTAAATGCAACTCTCAGGAATGCGTTCAAGAACCAAAACGTAACTCTCAAGAGTGCGTTCCAGAACTAAAACGTAACTCTCCGGTGTATGTCCAGAACCAAAACATAGATCTCAAGATTGCGTTCCACTAGCAAAACGCATATCTCAGGACTGCATTCCACCAGCAAAACGCAGATCTAACGAGACCTCTAAATACTCTGCATAGCGCGACTAGATTGAGGGATGAATATAAGAAGTCTATAGATTCAATGCATCTCAACTAGATCCATGGTCACCAAGAGCCAGTCCTGTCCAATCATGGACTAGGGGTTCTAATTCAAACCTCACGATCAGCGAGTAACTCTTCTCGGGTTTCTGCAATAGATTTGAGAGAGTTCATATCGGGAGAAAGGCCGATACAACAAGTTGCTTGTTCTTGCCAATGCAAACGACTGATTTCTACGATTCTCTCGGGATGCCAATGCTGCTCATGTACAGCTAATTTGTCAATATTCAACCAACCAACGAACCTCGCTTTGCTCAATAACCAATGACCTTCTCATAGGAAGAAGAATTTGGAGGATG